CCCTAGATCCCACCTCCCCACTTGCCAAGATGCCCCCCTCACCCTAATCATAACATACTTGGGGAGATGGGAGAGAAAGGAGCCAAAATAAATCTAGGAATTGGGAGCAACTGAGAGGAGCAAGGAGTATGACTCAGCAGAAACCGGAGAGCAGGCAGTGGAATGGGGCAATCCAGAGTGGAATGAGGCAGAGGGCGGGGAGAGGCGGGCCAGATTATACTTTTAAAACACGGCGTGATCTTATCCAGCTTCATCTAGACTCTGTACTGCCCACCAGCACCTGATGCAGCCTCCTGCACCCACACACACTCCCACTCTCTCACCCTGGCAGGCCTGCAGACTCCTCAACTTGATATTAACAAGCCTCAGCCCTACCTCTTCTCTCCTCTGACACTGCATGTCCTGCTTTCTTTCATCAATTTTTTCCTCTTCCCTTTAAACCCCTTGAAGGAAACAAATACAGCACATGCCAAAGGAGCCCGGCACCCAGAGGGAATTACCAGGCAGGGTAGACAGCGATGCCCTTCATCCCGGGATGGGACATGTCAGAAATGGTAGGATGCCTTAGCTGCTCACATTCCCAGGGCCCGGGCCTGGGCCAGGCTGTTCCCCCTCTGTGGGAAGCCCTCCTGCCTGACTCAGTACCGAGTCTGCACAGGATGTCCTAGCAAGTGTAGAACCACCATGTCAATAAACAAATAGGTTGGTCCCTAGTCCAAAGGGAAAAGCAGTGTGTGCCAAGCCCAGTTATTCTGGGGTCATCGTTCATCTCCAGGCTGGTCTCTACTGTCAAAATGGCTCAGCCTGCTACATGGGTTCTCAACTCCGGCTGCACATTTCAATCATCCGGAGAGCTTCTAAGAGGCACTGATGCCAGAGCCCCACCCTGAAGATTCTGACTCAACTGCTCTGGGATGGGGCCCTGCCCTTATTTTTGGCTTTTTCTAAGTGCCTCAGCTTTTTACTCGCAGCCCAGGCTGAGAACCACTGACCCAGCCATACCAGGATCAGGAGCTATTTTAATCCAGGGAGACTTGTTGAGGTTCTGAGCACCGGCTTTGGGAGTAGGTAAACTTGAATTACAAGCCTGGCTGTGTTACTAACTAGCTGTAGGGTTTAGTTGCTTAAATTCTTTAAACCTTAGTTTCCTCATCCATAAAATGTGGATAATAATCCCACCTAAATCAACTGGAGGAGTTCCTGGTGCCTAGGAGATATTCAATAGTGACCGCTGCCGTTTGAATATATTTCCTACTTCCATCTATCCATTCATTACACAAATCTTCATGGAGGAGCACCAGCTGTGTGTGCTGGGACTAGTTTTCTCACTCTTGTCAGCTTCCCCACTTCTGCAAGGCCTTCCAACCCTACTTAATGGCAGATGGCCCAAGGCTGGGGTTTCAGACCTGCTGTCACATTATCCAAAGCAGGACAAACGGGGTCTGGGCTCCCCCAGGACCACAGATACTAATGCTAGTAACCAGGCACAAGGCAACCTACCATATCCAACTGGTTACATCTTATCTACCTACCCCACGCACATTGGGGTGGAGGGGGGTGGTACAAAGGAGATAGTTAAGGGAAGGATGCTGCCCTCAAAGAACCTTCTTGAGTTAGTCTCTAAGCCTGGGCATTTGATTTGAATGCTAAGGGCCAGCCCCCAAATAACTCTAGAGTGTAGACAGAGTGGCAGGGTTATTCAGGAGAAAAAGAGCACATTTCAAAGTCAAGTATCAGTGGTCCTGGTTTACCTGCTATTTGGGAAGCTGTACACCAGCGTGCCTCAAAATTAATCTCTATCAAGTGAGAGGACCTAGCGAAGCTCCAGCCCAGGTCTAGTTGTCCCCTCTCCCTCCACGCCCACCTTAAGGGTGAGGTCTCCACACCTCTGGCTCCTGGCCCAGACAGCCACGTCACTGAAGCAGATTTTGAGGCGCTGGCAGGACTGGAGTCAAGCTAACCTCCTGAAAGGTCTTCATTCCCTCCGTGTGTCACTGCCCCAGGCTGGGCCCTGCTGTCCCCTCCCACCACCTCCTACCCCCAGGTTCCTTCCTGCATGACCCTCCCTCCAACATTTGTTCTTTCTAGGCCCCCTGAACAGCTGGGTGCCTTTGCCTTACAGAGTCACCCTGTCCCCTGCCTCTCCCCAAGGCAGCATGCCCAGGACCTGAGGCCAACCCCCCTGTTGCCCGGACAAAGCATGGAGCCCGAGAGGAAGAAGGAAGGCTGTGCTTCTGGACTGGAGTAAGCCCTGCAGAGAAGACTGCCCAGGCCGCCCCCAGCCCCAAGGCAGGTGGCTGGGTCTCCCCTATCCACCTCCCCACTTAGCCACACACCACTGCCTCCCCTTTCCACCTCTAGAAGCTGCTGGACCTGTCCTTCAGGGAAGCCCAAGGCCTCCTTTTCCGCGGTCCTCACAGCCAGCTCCCATTCCACACTTCACGTCTCTCTCACACCCACACCCTAATACACAGATAACACCCAGTGGCTTTTCCCTGTCTCTCCAAGCACCTCCCATCCCAAAACAGACGCCCAGGGCCCTGTGGGGTGTGTGGGGATAGGTACCCTGCAGGAAGGGAAGGGGGGACAGAGGTTCCACATGCCCCCACCCCTGCTCCTGCCAACTGCAAGCTCCGTGGAAGGCTGAACGTACATATGTCCACACTTGTTTCACCTCTGAGATTCTCTTAAAGATATGCTGTGCCCTCCTCCACAGCGTAAAGAAGGGCTGGTCCACCCTCTGGTTTCGATGACATGAAGAGAGGGGAAGCAACAGCCCCAGGAGCCAGGTGAAACCGGAGGCAGAGCAAGGGTAGAAACTTGGGGCTCCCAGGCCAGCGCTCTACCATTCCACATGCCCCCTCACTAGCTGGGGTTCAACAGTCAAAAATATCTGCTGACTCCATTGCCTGCAGAGCACCATGTTAAGGACCGTGGGAGAAATACCTAGAAGGTGGGGAGCACCCAACACTCAAGGAGCAACCTGTCTGCTGAGGATAACCCTAGTGGGGAACATCCAGGATGGGAGGTCTGTGACCAGAGAGATGACAGAATGACTAACCTGAGCGTCCAGGTGAGAAGGGACTAATGGGACACAGCATGTGCCAATGGTGGCAAGGATAATGCAAATTACAACAAACGTATACACAACACAGCACTTACGTGTGCCAGGCTTTGTTCTAAGCACACACATTAACATACGTTAACTCTTGATCCCTGTAACCCCCCTATGAAGTAGACACTATTATTCCCATTTCACAGATAAGAAGACTGCGGCACGGAGAGGTGAAGGGACTTGAAGTTCACACAGCGAAGAAGTGGCAGGGTGCATTCAAATCCAGGCCTTCTGCTGCAGAGTCCATGTTCTCAGCTGCTAATTGTCCCTCCCTGCACAGCAGAAAGGAGAGAGAGGGGCGGCCCCTCCCCTTGATCTCCCCACAGGGAAGCAGCAGGAGGAAAGGTGCTAGAGTTTCTGCTCCCTTTCTTTACAGCTCTGGGACTCCAGGGAGGTTAACTTCGACGAGCCGCCCCCCACCCCCCCCCCCCCCCCCCCCCCCGCCCGACCTGAAATACAGACTCCTCTGACTGCACACGGTTTCCTGTCAGGACTAAAGCACTTAGCACAGGTCCACACTCAAAAGGTACAAAATAAACTAGGGCGGGAGGGAGAAGAAACTTCCCTCTTCCTGAACGCTTTCAAGATCTCAGCAGTCTTTGCTTTCCTATTCTTCCCTCTACGAAGTTCAGAGTTCAAGGATACTGGAAAACTACTCCACTTTCTAGCAGTGGGGTCTGCTTAGCTGAGGATCCCAGAGGGGGTCAGATTTGGGACAAGCAAGTTAGGCTGAGGCCCACCCCCTCGTTGAGCAACGGTGAGGTACGTGGGGGAGGGAGCATGATCTGATGAATCCCAGGACATGAAGCCTGTGGTAAGAGATGGGAAAAGAATGAGCAGATTGGTCTAGAAAAGAGGTTTTGGAGGCTTGCCCAGTGGTGGCCTAGTGCACTCAGCTTTGGTGGACGGGGGTTTGCAGGTTTGGATCCCGGGCGCAGACCTAGAACCACTTGTCAAGCCATGCTGTGGTAGTATCCCACATAAAACAGAGGAAGATGGGCACAGATGTTAGCTCAGCAACAATCTTCCTCAAGCAAAAAGAGGAAGATTGGCAACAGATGTTATCTCAGGACCAATCTTCCTCACAAAAAAAAAAAGAAAGAAAAAGAAAAAAAAGAGGTTTCGCCAAATTAAGAGAGATGCTTCTCCCAAAATTATTCCCTGACTACATGGGCAAAAGAACTTAAAACTTGTTATGATAGGAATCACTCTGAGGGGTGTTGTCAAGGACTGAGGGGCTACCCCAACCCTAAAGAGATAGTGGAATCCCTAACCTGGAAAAGTTCAGGTCCTGCTCTGTTCTGCTCTAAAATGAGGCTAAACGCTCCTAAGGGAAATAAAGAGGAAACACAAAATCAACGGACAAGTCACAGAGCCCTGTGACTACAGAAGTGACAACTATTGGTGGCACTAAGGTGACATTTTTAGGCGGGTGTCACTGTATGAAGCAGGGCGTCACAAGAACACCTGATCACACACAGACAACCTCCCCTCGGGGGATGGGGGAGCAAAATGTTTAAGGAAGAGGCTGGGTGGGAGGCAGGGCTGGGAGGGGTACTAGTATTTTATTGGACCCCAAAGTCCTACCCACCTGCTCCCCCATCTCTGGTGGTCACTCAGACTTGGAAAGGGGTGTCACGGCTGGGCGGGCAGGAAGGTTTTTAAGCGAGACCCCAAGGAGCGCTCCCCGCCACCCCCGCGTTGGGGTATCTGGTGAGACAGGGCAGTCTGTCTAGAGCACATCATTCCACTCCTCTAGCCACCCCCAATTAAGCACCCAGAGCTCCGTCCCAGAGGCACCGGATGGGCCCGGGCGCTTCCGGAATAAGGGGCAGTTTACAAGGCCACCCCCTCCTGGGGAAGGTGGGGACGCGGGCAGGCTCACCTCTGTGGCTGGCTGGGAGGGCTCTCCGGGGCGAGGCAGTGTCACCGGAGCCCCCGAGCTGCAGCTCCGGACACTGGACCTCAGGACTCTCCGCAGCATCCGGGACACGGGCCGCGCCGCCGCCGCCGCCATGAAGCCTGCCTGCCCGGCGAGACTCCACGGGGTAGCCGGCTTGAAACGCGCTAGCCGGGACTCGCTGCCCTGGGTCACCGCGGCAGGGGCGGGGCCGGGGCGGGACCCACGCAGCCAATCGGCGAGGGCGCCGCGCGGCCTTCTGGGGGCTGTAGTCCACGCCCTCCGCTCCTTTCCTGGACCGGTAACCGTAGGGCTTGGAAAGCAGAAGCTAAAACTCACCAAGAGAGCCCAGGTCTTTTCTTCCAGACTTGTCTGGCTGCTCTGATGCCAGACTCAGGTCGTGGTGTGACTGGCACCAAGTACTGTAGGCAGGTGAATGGCACATTGCCTTGGGTGCAAAATTTAAGGGGTGCCAAAAAAGTAGGTTATCCAGATAAATAATATTTTAAAGCAGTATTTTTAAAAGAATCAATGCAAAAAATATCCCATGATGAACAAAATGTCAACATTTTACATAAAAACAAGATCCGACTCTGCGTGTTTAGGACTCATTTCATGTCGTTCATGGTAGTCTGGGCCCTGATTGTAGGATGGTCAGCTCCCTCTTTCAAGATACAATTCTCCAACTGTGCCCCAAAAGGACATTAACAATCTTGGCCTCTCTGTTTAAAAAAGGAGTATATGAGAAGAAGTCATAGAATGAGTGGATATTATTTCTGGAATGCTTCCTACACACCAAGTACCATGCTAGGTGTCATTTAATACTTAGGATAATGTTGAAATTAATAAAATGTTAGTTTTGCAACTGAGGAAACTGAAGCTTAGAAAGGTTAGGTAATTTTCCCAAAGACACACAGTTGATAAGTGGCAAAACTGGGCTTTAAACTTAGGACAATCTGATTCCTAAAGTCAAGGTTAAGTACATATCAGGAATGGGGGGTGGGGGTCTGTTCCTCTCTCAAAACAAGAGCTCTAGCCTTCGAAGATTGTGGATTCTAATGCACACTCAGTAATGAACCTATGTACTAAGAATCATTATGCTCAAACCGGCCTATCTGTTGTATCCAAAACTATTGCCGTGGGATTGCAAGAATCAAACATTGATGGGAAAATACTAGCTGCCAAGCGTCTGTTAGGAAACAGGGATACAGGTCCTCGTCTTGAAGAATTGACAGAGTAATGGAGAGGAAATGATCACTGACATAGCTGATTTGTACAAATGCAGCAAGACTGTCAGAAAAGCTGGGATGATTTCAGCCTTAGACGCAAGGTGAGCTTCCTATCATGTTATTCAAAGTTCAGACAATACACTGCAGGGGGCGAGGGTGTGTCTGGGTATGCCTGAAACTGGTGAGACAGGCCTGATGGACATCTATTTGCAAAGGGCCTGAGGACCTTCTGAGGACTGTTCAAGCTCTGTCCACTGCTAAATTTGTTGTCTAGATTTGTCAGGGGAACGGAGCATGGGCATGAAGACAACAAAAACCTTTTTTTTTTTTTTTTTGCAGGCATGAGGCCTGAAAAGTTTCTAGGAGAGGACTCAAACTCAACAAAGGAGTCATTGGACGTAAAGAACTTGATCTTCTTTAGAAGAAGCAAGTAGCAAGTCCTTAGAATGTGGAGGAAACAGAGATTCTGAGTCTGCGTGTTGGTTCTTAAGCAGCTCCGTCCCCAGCTATATTAGTTTCTTATGACTGCTGTAACAAATTGCTACAAACTTGGTGGCTTAAAACAAAATTCGTTCTCCTACAGTTCTAGAGGCCCGAGTCTGAAATGAGTTGTAAGGAGCTAAAATCAAGATGTTGACAGGCATGTTCTCTCCAGAGGCTCTAGCAGAGAATCTGTTTCCTTTGCATTTTCCAGCATCCACAGCTGCATTCCTTGCCATCAGTGTAGCATCTTCTGTGACTCTCCTTCCATCCCATGGCCTGCTTCTCTTCTGTCTTAAATCTCCCTCTGCCTCCTTCTAAGAAAACTTGTCATTGCATTTAGGGACCATTTGGATGATCCAGATGAGTGTTTCACTGTGGATCCTTCTTGTGGAGTGAGGGACAGAAGACAGATGGAGAGAGGAGGGTGGTAGGATAGGGAGAGAAGTATCTACCAGTTGGCCAGAAACCAGATCACTAGAGGGAATTAACTTGTAGGGTATTAAATCTTTTCAATGAGCCCCTCAAGACGATCTTGGATCCTCACTTCGTAGCCCCATTCTTTGAGCCCATCTAAAATGCCCCCAGATGCATGAAGCCTTTCTAGATTTCACCCTTTTCATCAAAGTTGTATGTGATCGTTCCTGCGCTTGGGCCTCATTGTCACTTTTTATAGAACCTTGGAACTCCAGGGCTGAGCAAGACCTTACAGCTTATTCAGTTTAGCTTGGAAGCTGAAATCCCTATGTGATTGTGCATCTACATGGGCACATCTAGTGCCGGGCAACTTTGATTTCCTGACATTGACTGTTCCACATAAATGCCTCTTTGCCTATTAAAATTCTTACTTGTATTGAGCAGAAATGTGGCTCTTTCTTTCAACATGTGGTGATTAAGTGTCATCCAGGCCTCACACTCTCCTAATGGCTGTGAATAAGGAAATACCTTCAGAAGCTGACAGCCTAGAGTAGGACTCTGATCTGGAGAGTCCGAGGATGGATTTGGGGGGACCCATAGACCCCTGAAACTGGATGTATAATATGTGCATTTTTGTCGGGGAGAGGTGGCTTTTATCACATGCTTAAAGAGGCCATGACCAAGGAAGAGAATACTGGTCTTAGAAATCACTCTTCTGTGATATCCTCCTATTGAGCCTATTTTCAGCCCCTGGGCTATTGCATCTACCCTCCCATTCATTCAAGAGCCTTAACACAAGTTCTCTCCTCTTCAAGGTAAACAGCAGCAATCACTGTCAACCCTCGTATACAATGTCACGTGAGTCACTGTGCCATTTTAGTCCATCTTCCCAAATACACTTTTGTTTGTCTAAGTCCCAATAAGTCCCACAAATAAGATTGTATTTTTAAAAGACGGCTGAAACAATATCTCCTGTCTCATGTTCTTCTAGAGCAGTGCTGTCCAATAGAACCTTCTGCAATGATGGAAAAATTCTAAGTCCTCATGTGACTTTTGAGCACTTGAAATGTGGCTAGTGTGACTGAGCAACTGAATTTCTAATTTTATGAAATTTGAATTAACTTAAGAGTAAACAACCATGTGTGGCTAGTGGCTACGGTATTGCTCAGCATTGTTCTAGAACCGTGTTTTCCCCATCAGGAAGTGGAATTAATTCTCCTCTGCTTGCATCTAGGTGGGTTCATAACTGGCTTGTAACTAATAGACTATGGCAGAAGAGATGCTGCATGACGTCTGAGGCTAGATAAGAATATGATGCAATTTCCAACGTTACAATTTACCTCTCATCATCTGGTCTCTGGCTGGCTGGAAGATACTTCCATCCTTATCCCCCTCCCATTCTCTCCCCACCTGTCTTCCATTCCCCAACCCCCAAAAAAGATCCAGGACAAAATTTGGAAGCAACCAAGATGTCCTTCAGTAGGAAAATGGATTAATAAACTGTGGTACATCTAGACAATGGAATATTATTTCAGTGCTTAAAAGAAATGAGCTAACTGAGCCATGAAAAGACATGGCAGAATCTCAAATGCGTATTACTAAGTGAAAGAAGCCAACCTGAAAAGGCGACGTACTATAGTTGATTCCAACTACGTGACATTCTGGAAAAGGCAAGACTATGGAGACAGTACAAAGATCAGTGATTGCCAGGGCTTAGGAGGGAGGGAAGAATAGGTGGGGCATAGAACTTTTTAGGGCAGTGAAATTTTCTGTATGATACCATTGTGATGGATACATGTTATTATATATTTATCCGAACCTATGGAATGTACAACACCCAGAATGAACCCTATTGTAAACTATGGACTGTGGGTGATTATGATGTGTCAATGTAGGTTCAGTTGTAAAAAATCTATCACTCTGGTGGAGGATGTTGATAGTGGAGACAGCTGTGCATGAGTGGAGGCAGAGTGCATGGGAAATCTCTGTACTTTCCTCTTAATTTTTCTGTGAACCTAAAACTGCTCTAAAAAAGTAAAGTCTTAATTAAAAAGAAAAAGAAATCCCAGATGGGATTTCCAGCCACATGCCCATTTCCCCTCTCTCTCGCAATAGGAACCTCAAATATCCAGCTTTCTATGCTCATCGGACTCCTCCCCTATTCCATTGGTAGTTCCGGACTCTCTTTGAAAATTCAGGCATTTTAATCAAGCAATGAAATAAAAAGTTTTAGAAAATGTTTCAATTCCTATAATTTCTCCGTTTGGGGACCTTGTTCAGAATGTTCTCCGTTTGCTTCTCCAGACCCCGTCCCTGACTCTCCTCACCGTGTTCTGAGGACTAGGAGGTTGACCTCTACCAACCACTTTGATGGCATCACCCAGGTACTCTTGTCTCTGGTTTCCAGATGTATCTGGCCAGTAGGAGGCATGGGCAGGCGATCAGATAGCAGGAAGAGAGAGAAGTCAGAGTATTTATTCTTCCTGCTCCCTGTTTTGCTGTGATTCTGGCAATGACTGCCCTTCTACAACTATAGCTCATGTTATGTGGCCCTTCTGCCGTGAGTCCAGCTCTCACCAGGTCCAGTAACACCATTTCTAACACTTATCCCTTCAGGCTGGGGCGGGGTTGGCGTTTCTCTGTTGATGGTCACAGATGCTTCAACATCCCTGTTGGTTACGTTAACCCTGCCCACACCTCAAAAATGATCCCTTCAGTAAAACATTCCTTCAAAAAGTCCCAGCTAAGTATGCTGTCTGTCTCTTGCTGGTCCCATGACAGATGCGGAATTCAAGGATTTCTCCCTCCAATAGTGCCCCAGATGCACCTTTGTTAATAGTGGCAATTACAACAGAGTGACATAGTTTATTTATTTACATGCCTTCTGCACTATAAGCCCTTTGAGGGCTGGGGCCAAATCTAAATTATCTGTAATCATGGCCTAGCATGACGTTTAATGTACAGTAAGCTCCCAATAAATGTGCATTAAATGGTGCATTCCATATCTCTAACTTGCCTTTCCAGTGAGGTGACCGTATCAGGATGCACTAGATCATTCTGTCATAACAAACAACC